GTTACAAAATATTACGCTTACGCAAACTTGCGGCGGGTCTGGAAGCTTACGAAATATTATGATGTGTAAACTTGCGCAACTTTTTGCACTATATAATTTCCTGATGTATGAAAAATATAGTTATGACAAATACACGTAATTTTTATTAAATCGGGTTAAATTCTCTTTTCGCGCATAGTAGGCATACAGTATAAAATAAACCTTTTTCCCAGCGCATTTACGCAAGATAACTATTGCTATTAAAAAAATCAAGCGATATTATCTAAAAAACTTGATCCACCAATAAAATCTCAATAAAATTACTACGCCTAATCATGTCCAGTTTGTTATTGCTCAACTCTTCGGGAGTCATGCCTTTTTTGACCTTAACCGCTGTTTTTTTGTTCATTGGTCCAATTTTCCCCTGCGTAACTGTGAAAAGTGCGTTTTCACGTGATCACCCACTTTATTCATCACGAGGCATCACACCTGCCTCTAAACGTGAAATACTATTTATCTAAGGGACTTAAGGTTTTTTCGAGTGGGCAAAAACTTATTTGTCATCTTTATTTGTCACATGCACTTTCACGTAATGCCGTAATGCCAGCCCTGTAGGTGCTTTTTTTCACGGTTACGCAGGGGTAGTTATTGGTCCAGTGTTAATCATAGGGATCGCTACCATGTGGTCAAATCTCAAACAAAAAATTTCCGATGAACTTTCTGCACGTGTCATTAAAATTCTCATCGATCTTGGTATACTAAATAATATACCGGGAAAGAGGTCACTTCATGACCAGATCTCTACTGAACTTAATGATAAATTTGACACATGTATTTCCGATATTAATTCTATTTTCACTGAGAAGCTCGACAGAATCAATAATGATCTTAATAATAAACTTACCGCGAAAGCCGAAAAAAACAAGGCACGTGATGATGACTTCACTAAGGAGATGCAGAAAATCTTTTCAATGATCAGTACTGTTACCGAAAGGCTTGATAGGATCGAAGAAGCCTGTCATAATGATTTTGGAAACATTTCGTCCGAATTTACATCAATCAAAGCTTCTATTGAAATTCTTCAAAATGATTTGGCCCAACGTTATGCGGTTGTCTGAAGAGCCGATTTTGATCAACAAAGCGTGTCCAATGAATCTGAAACTAATGTATCTGGACTGGGAAGTTCGCTAGACTCTGCCTCAGCTTCAACTAGTTCAAGCTCTTCATCTGAAGGTTCCAATTTATCTGGAATTTTTGATATTACTGGAGACATTAAAATTCGCTTTAAACAACACTTTGATCGACTTATGAAGGCGAGGAATTATACTGTTGATGAGATGTGTTTCTCGGTAGTAATGGATATTCGTAGTTTTGGAGGGAATATTAAAATCTCAACAGTGAAAACTTTTTATAGTGGTGTTAGTGGTAGTAAAGTTAGCACAGTTAGCACAGTTAATCAGATAAACGCATGGGTAGCTAGTTTTAATAATAATGCGGAGTAGCGGGTAAGGAACTGCCAATATATGGGTTAGGGCTCGGCAGGCATTTATGCTTTATTCCTACCTTGAAACAACCTGCTACTCTATTGTTTTTTTATTTTCATTTTTTACTTAGCCGGCCGGCCCTTTCTCATGTATTACTTTGCAATAAAGAATGTTTTGATTGATTTTTAAAATGTGTGCGTTTTGCAAATGTAAATATAAATCTATACATGTGTTATCAGGTGATTATTAACTCTCATGATAGTAAATTAAATGATTCCCGATTTATACTTTCATTTGAGAGAAATGCATGATAGCGTCATTATGCGTGTAAACAAACGAAACTGAGTGATTCCTGTTTTATATCTTCATTTGAGAGTGTTACGCTCTTATTATTGAGCCTTTCAAGATTGAGATTTTTTTCATCTCCAAATATAATTGATTATCATAATATATCTTGTCCATTAAAATGTTTGAGATTTCTGCAAATATATAAAGGCCCAGATTACTTGAAAAAAGCCTTTTTCGCAATCATGGCAGATCAAGATCAAGATCGATGTCGTAATCTAAATCCTTATCCAACAACATTTAACTTATTAAATGAGGCAGTTAATAATAATGATAATTTGAAAAAAGATTATGATGCGAGAAAGTTTATGCGGATAGACGAAAATACAATTAAAGCAATATAACAACGTAAGACACTTCATTAAGTAATATAAGCAAAAAACTTTTTATTCATGATGATTCATGTGATTATATTAATTAAAGCTATGAGGAGATAATTATTTTTACAATATAAAAAAGATACAATCTTTATGAAAAACTTTTATCGCATTTGAGTGAATTTTGAATTCCCTTACTAAATTTTCTTCATTGCTAGCACAGAGTATTGAAATCTAATTATTTAAAACAGCATAATGAGCATAAAACATATCAATGGGAATGAGATTAGGTAAAGTAGCAAAGGGGTTAGGTGGAGGAAGTTGAGGAGGTGGTGGTGGTGGTGGATTCAAAACATTGGCCGGTACCCCATGGTAAAGGCATGCCAATTGAATGTTGATAACGCATTGCCCAGGTTGCAGTTGGATCTGAGCTCCATTACGATTAATAGTTCCAAATTCATACTAAATAAAAGAATACCTTAAATTTATTTTCTACGGATTTAACTTTTACTAAAAGCATATAAAAATATAACATACCATCGTGGGATTAAATGCACCGGTAGCCGTTCGCGGATGATTAATGCAATAGTGCCAAGCCTATTAAGAATATAACAACAATCGGACATTACTAAAGAAATTGAGCAGAAATCGAATTCTTGTCATTTCTTACCGTCATCACTGAAGGCCTTGTAGCAGGTGCGACGGGTTCCTCTATTTTAATTGCGATGGCATCATGAGCCCGACCAGCTTGAAGCCAGTAAGTTTCGACTTTTCTTTTGACATCCGCTTCAGATTGTGTGTACGCAATTTCGATTACTAGATTCGGCCAGGGCTGAGTCTAAAAATGTAGTGTCAAATTAATACTGTTAAATCTTAAATAAAATCAGAAAATGATAAAGACAATAACTCTTCATACCCCATTTCTGTCACATCCGCCCCTAATCAATCGAGGTTTCGCTGATGGTGTCCATGCGTTGTCAGATTCTTTGCCTGTTCTACGAGTTTTTGTTGCTTTTACCAAGGGTTAGAGATAGACTTAGCTAACGCTAATAGTATCAAAGGAAACTAACAAACACTCACTTGTAGATCCATCATTAAGCATGCCGAGATTAGTGCCCCTCACACTTCTCATTGCTATAGCAATTTCATCGATTATGGAACCAACACAACGTTCATGAAATTTGGTGGGTAATTCAATGACACGGACGGTCCCATTTTCCCACTCCCACCAGCCGTGAATATTATATTTATCCGTACGTTCGACATAAGTATCAAAAGGTACCTCAGTAGCTAGCTCATACGGTAAACTTGAACAATAAATCAACAATTAGCTTACAAAAATAGTCAAGTTGTTGAAGTAAATAACAAAATGACTTACGTTGCCTCTTCCCACCTGGCCTTCGAGTGCATTTGACCAGTTTTCCACCAGTAATTGCGATATCTTTTCAGTTCGCCGGGCTCAAAAACATCGGAAGTGGATGTAAAAGAGGTGGTTGCAGTATTTTGGGTTGATTGGGTACTTTGACTAGTTGACATATTTCCCGGAATAGTAAAATCGTCGTTCCCGTACATGTTTATGTGTACAGTTTTATATACTTGGAGAAAAGAGTGATCACAAATATTACGCAATTTCAAAGGCTACAGTAATTATATTGATTATTAATTATTCTATAACTTTCCGTCGCACAATTCAAGTTTGATGATTTAATCGAAAAATAACGGTGGCTTAGCTATCATTAATGGAGGTGAAATCTGATTGGTCGATCAATCTCGTGATTTATGGAAACTCGGAACTCTCCTAAAACTATCGAGGAACTGGCAGGGAACTGGTGGAGATCACTTGTGATACTATATACAGTACATCATGCCACAAACTGATTTAGCCGAAGATGCTGTGCATATGCATGTAAATATAAAATTAGCATAGCCGGCTAGATATGACCCTATATAAATCCCATAAAAATGAATTTGAGTTTAGTCTCACTAAATCGGCTACAAATCGATAAAATCGCTTATAAAATTGAATCTGATATTTATTAGAGTATAATATTGCTAAATCAGCTAAAAACACTATAAATCAACAAAACACTATTTTATCGCTTAAACATTTATAAAGATGGATTTAGATAGTAATGCTTACTATAAGCTTTGTTTGCCTGATCGTGATAATAAATATAATAAGATATTAAAAGCAATACAGCTTTTACAACATAAATATGATCATGAAACACCAGAAATGTGGTGCTCTCGTATTCGTGATCCATTTAGGAAAATACTAGAAGAGAACTATTCCAGGGAAATCCTTTCTAAGAATGGATATATCACAATCCCTATAAAAAATTTTTTATGAAAGTATTCCGAATTTTATCTGGTTTTTGTATTCCGAAAATGTTCCGATTTTTACTATTATGATTCCATTCCGAAAAGTGATCATTTTTCGGAATAATACTTTAGGTTATTACCCGGAAACACTCAAATTATACTCAGTAAATTTATGAAATTTAAACGGAATATTATCAGATAATTTACACAGATATTATCCGAAAGTATTCAGTAAGTTTTATTGAATGCAATCAAGATACACTTCAATTATATTTGTAGGATATTATCTGAAAGTATTCATGAATGTGACCTATGTATTTTTCAATAATACATAAATAAATTGATACATTAATAATAGGACTCTCTATATTAATAAGATTCTCCATCATTATTTCTAGCTTTCTTACAAGTGTTGTGTGACCTTTGTTGTTTTGGTTATGTTGACCTTCTTTTCCTTTCTCGTAAAGGTAATTGGGCGTCATTAGTTTTTATTTTAGTAAGAACTATACTTGATGATCATTAAGAAATAGACATGGATGAAATAGCAATATCAGTATGTGGAAATGATTCAGAAATTGGAGTATTTTCGTCCATTTTTGGAGATATTGGTATATCAGGTGACGTTCTTAGAAATTGGAATAGGTAGTGATACCACTTTCTCGAGTTTTTTATTAGGTGTGATATTTTTGCACTTAAGAGGTGGATTGATACCTTGGATAAAAGCTTCTTAGTTTTTTTTTGAAGGGTTTCACTTAGAAAACATACTAGGTTTCGCTTATAGATCAAAAATAAGATGCCAAAACCTACAAAAGAAAATAGTAAACGTGTCATACTAACGTATTTTATTAAAGTTTCAGACTTTTTTCAAAAACTCACCCAAGATTCAGAATCAAGATTTAACCAGATCTCTATAAAGTAGAAATAATGAAATGTTACAGTAATAAACATTTTTTTAAATTAGTTTTTGAAAGATTCCAAAAACTCACTATGATTCCAGTGCTTTGAAATCAGAAGTCGTCTAAAAAATAAAAAAACATGTTAGCAATCATTTTATTTTAAAATAGAATTAATTCAAAGGAAAAATATTTACTCATCGAATTTTCCTGCATGTCCAGATACTCCAAAGAACAAAAAAAAAAATGAAATGTTCTTTGTTAAAATACTTTACTAATGCACACTCCAGAGACCAAAAGAGCCACTAAAAAAGAAATGAAATGAACTGTTAGTACCGTTTGTTAACATAGATGAATTATAAAAAGAACAGGAAAATAGCTCGCCAGATTCTTACACGTCCAAAAACCCTTCCTACCATTTAAAAGATTAATGATTCCACGCAAAATTTCCATATGTTCAAGGCTAGTCCATTAAAAAAAGAGAAAAAATGAAACATTAATAAGACATTTGTTAAATGAATAATTAAAAAGAAAAAAGACAAACTGCTATAAAGTTCGTTAAAATAAAATAAAAAAATTTTGAAAAACTTATCAAAATTTCGCGTTCAAGGAGACCGAAAAAATGGCTAAAAGTTTCGTTTAGGATTTTTTTTCAACAGAAAGTACGAGGTGGGAAAGGAGAAAGAAAGACAAAGAAAAGGAAATGGTAGGGAAAGGACAAAAAGAGGGAAGGACAAAGAAAGGACGAAGGGAAGGGAAAGAAAAATGAAGGAGAGTTTAAAAAGTTAAAAAAAAGTGTAAATTAATTGATTTAGGAGTCTAATTGCTGATCTTTACCGTTACTAATTGAGGTCAAATATGGGCCAAATTGTATTATTGAAATATATTGTAAATAAAAATATTTTAAATAATCGGGATATAATCGGAACATTTTCAATTTGAATACAAATTCGGAATATCTTCAAAATTTTTTCGGAGTATTTCCTAATACTTTTTACCATATCAAAACTTCTAAATTTTAACTTGAAATATAATCAGAATGTTATCAGTATAATCGGAGTATTTTCAACAAATTCGGAAAAAAATTGGAATGTATCCGACAAAAATTTTTTATAGGGAATGTATGGAAAGCTATATGTAGATGATAAGATTCATAATCGTCCAACCAATTATATATATTGC